CCACATTTTCTCCCAATCCAACAGCTACCAACGTTTCACACAATAGTACCTCAGTTACCCAATCTGCTATAACTGAATGATCACCTTAGATAAATATTTACTGATGTTCCCATTGTCTACTTTGGAAGAACAGAAGTCTTAAAGATATCCTTGTTCATGTAAAAGTGAATGGTAATCTCCCATGTAATAAAACTCATTGTCTAACCTACAAGTTCATAAAAACTACCGGGTCTTTTTTACAACAAATATAACCAGAAGATCGTTATAATTACAAAAGAAATTGCTTGTACAACACTATTTACCTTATACAGTGTAAACAAATACAATCACCCCAATGACCTTTAGAGAGCATTTCAACAACCATAAATCTTCTAAGTAACTCCAAAAAAAAAAAGACCTCCCTGCTACCAGACACTTCAACCAATCCAAACATTCTATAATGTGATTTTCATCAGCATTGAAAGTGGTTTAAAAACTAGAGATGACAGAGAAATACAAGATGTTTATTGGATTGACACTTTAAATACCGTTCAATCTTGTGGAATAAATCTAGACTTATGACCATTAATTAGTTCTCTGTCATAAAAAACGTAAGTTTGTTTTTTCAATGTGAGAATTCTTTATTTTCATCCCTAATATTTCTCAATATTTATTATTTATTTATGATAATTTTCCATGTTTGTTTTTTATCTTTTTAGTTCTGTCTTCTTAACATTTTCTTTATAACTACTCGCAACCTCTCTCACCATTTTATATCTAACTTTCTAGTTTCCTCTCACGTTGTACAACGAGACACACAATAATATATTGAAAGTTAATCGTGATACTTCCGGGCTGTCGAGGAGATGGAACATTGCAACGTCATTCCACCTTACCTTACATCTGGCTTCACTCGGTCACTCCCAGTTTGCTCCGCGTGTAGAAAGGACCACCTTTTCAAACTCTTGGGTTATAAGGTTTCGTATTTTTGTGTTAAACAACAAAACATAATACAACTGTTACTCCTATATTACACTTGTACCTAACATATATACCAAACTACTGAAAATAAATTCCTTTTATGAAATCACAATATTGGCAGTACAGAGAAGTATACCATAAAAATATTAATGCAAGTAACATTCAGTTTAAAAAAAAATAATAATGACATTTAAAAAAAACTGTATGTCAAGTAATGAATATATAAAGTATAAAAATTTTTGTTTTATTTTTTTTGTTAGAAGACTAAATATAAAAATTACTTCTAGTAACACTTTATGACTTTATCTTGTTTTTATCAGATTTCAACAGCAGAAGAAAGGCATTTTCTAAATCTTCATCACAACTTCATAACTCGTCAAAAGTTCTAATTACCATTCAGCAGTCCTGCCCAATTACATCAAAATTCATGTAAACCAACTGAAATAATACATTTCATTAAAATCTCCAAGTGCTAGGATTAAATCTTATTATCCCTGTGGGATTTAGAAATCAAAACAGCTCATCAAAGCTTTTCTGTCTAGAGTGAAATGGACCCAGGACGGGGCAGACATGTCAGGAACAGAAGTCTTGTCAGGTTCATGTTGTTCGTTTCTCGAGTCTTTTTGGTGCATAGTTCCTAGTTGTACATAGAAAAGCAGTCACTGAACATGTTACTCCTCATTCTAACGTTATAAATCAACCATCTGAACACTTCACTGCTATAATTCAATCAGAGAAACTGGTAGAAATCAAGAAAAATCTTACATATTCTGTCCATACATAGAATAGTTTCCAATGTTCAGTAACTAATAATACTTTTCAACACAAATCCTCTAGCATTGTTACTAGTATTTAACTTTAGCTCAGCACTTTAATAATAAAGGGATGAAAACAGGAGCCTGGAAGGGTTTAGTACATTCTAGGTAACTGTGGGGCACTAAATATTCACTATTTACTGGTAGGATAATCAGTAAACACCAAACATTTGATAAGAATTTTCTCACTGGATTTAAACAAATTGGGAGGATGGTCAATTTCACTACAGAAATCTGCCAACTGGCAACTGATAATAACAGCCATTGAGAAAGTAACTGGCACACAGGATCACATATAAAAGGTGTAATGAATTTCCAAAAACGACCCAAAACTCGAGCATTTTTGAATATTTCACTCTAGTCTCGAGAAGAACAATAGTGAACTACTCAAAAGCACTCAAGTTTAGAGTCTTTTTTTTTGAATATCATTCCATGAGAAAGTGAGGCTGTAAAAGGCTACAGTCTACTCACAACTTAAGGTTATGTCTACCTTCCCTTCCCATGAAACGTTTTGAGTATTTCGTACTGGTGAGTAGCTGGCTATGCATCTGTCCACATTTAATATACTTTGTTATGCATGCTATAACGAGACATTTTTGTAATGTGTTTTGACTAAAAAGGACACAAGACAGGACATAATTAATAAAATAATACAGATCTAACTCACTACAAAAAAAAACACATGACACATCGGTATTTAGTCTAGAACTAAGATAATATTCAGAACAGAACTAAATTAATCTACAAACTCACTCACAGAAAGACACCTGCTTTAAAATATTCTCCTAGTACTAGTGATAGTTGATACTCTAAGGCAAACAAGAAACCTGTATTTTGCACACACTGAAGGAGCTACTTCTTCATTACTTTTGTTCACTAATTTGTTGATGATTAAAAAAAGAAAACATAAAAAAGTGTTTGTAAATACACTTAGTATGTCAGGTACTTTTTACATCACAACACTGAGTCTTAATAGTAGCCAGAGACTTATTTTGTTTTTGGTCACATACAACAGTCCAATAACATTAACCTACGAGCATCAACCTTACAGAGTTTTCTAACGTTTACAATAGAAAACCATCTTCACAATTCTCACTCTGGCCGAGAGATTTTAAACAACCAAATAGAATCCTCTGATTATTCTTGGATAATATTGTCTTTTACTAGCACTTAGAAGTATCTTAATGACTATAATGGTTAGCAGCAAAGAAGAAAACTAACCTGATATATTATTTGAATGAGATTTCTGAGCTTGATTTAAGCCGTAGCTTCTTTCCACTGTCTGTAAATTTTTTAACAAAGATTTATGTAGTGCAGTAATCTGTTTCAGTTAAATTATTCAATGTCAGTACACTTATTAAGTATTAACCAATACTAAGAAAACACAGAGGATAAAACAGACAAACTATAAACCAAGAAATTTGATAATCCAACTGCTTTTGGATGTTAGCCATTCTTTCTTTGTCCAATTCACTGCTGAAGAAAGAAAGAATTTCCAAAAGCAGTTTGGTTTCGTGTTTACTAATTCATTGTATACTTAATATTTTTGCCGTTAAAGTTCTAATAAAATTAACAAAAAACATTACCAAATCTTCTTTACACTAACTGTTACTGAAACCTATACTCACGTACTAGACGGAGCTCACAAATCATTAACTGACCAATTGGATTAATACGACTACACTACCTTTGAATCATTCTTCTTGAATGACCCGTGACTATGCTTTTCTCTGTCATGATTAGATGGTTGATTGCTTTTTAATCTCTGTATTCGAGAAGGAGAGGCTGAAAGGTTTCTATGATCTTGTGGACGGCTACCTTTACTTTGCAAGTACTCAACAAATTCATCCTGAAAATCAGCATACATTACCGAAACCAGCACGATACAAAGAAATCACACCAGATCAAGACTACACAGTAACAAACCTTGAAACCTGAGCATTTCCAGAAGGCACACTTTTCTCTTCTATTTGTTATTTTGTGCTACATAAAACAGCCGTATTTATTGAACTGCATGTAAAATACCAAATATAAAAGTGTTTTGTTGAAACAAATAAAAACAATTAACTTTGCCCACACGCACATAGCGACTTTGGTCAACATCAAGTATAAAGGTTTCTATTAATGTCCAAATCATAAACAAAATTTTGGGTATTATCTAATACAGGTTTTTAAGTATCTTACCAAGTTGTGGCTGCATGTTTTTAAGTATCTTACCAAGTTGTGGCTGCATGTTTTTAAGTACCTTACCAAGTTGTGGCTGCATGTTTTTAAGTACCTTACCAAGTTGTGGCTGCATGTTTTTAAGTACCTTACCAAGTTGTGGCTGCATGTTTTTAAGTATCTTACCAAGTTGTGGCTGCATGTTTTTAAGTATCTTACCCAGTTGTGGCTGCATGTTTTTAAGTATCTTACCAAGTTGTGGCTGCATGTTTTTAAGTATCTTACCAAGTTGTGGCTGCATGTTTTTAAGTATCTTACCAAGTTGTGGCTGCATGTTTTTTAAATTAAGT